CAGATTGTTGAAAATTGATGACCACAGGAAAGTCATTCTAGGAAAAGTAGAAGATATCAGAAAAACAATATTAAAACCTAGCTGGTGGAGTAATGTATTAGAGATGAGATGATAAAAGAAATTAAGATTTTTCCTTTTATGTGTTACAACTGTTTTGATATTTCTTCCTTGTGCAATCCCCTTGTTTTATTTTGCCAGCATAGTCTAGAAGATGCAAGTAAACAAGAAATATTGCTCAAGCCAAATGATTTACAAAGAATAAGAGGGGGGATTTTGAAAAATGCATATTTTATGATTGGCTTTTTGCAAATATTAAAATGAATATTGTATGTGTTATGTTAGAAAGTTATGCTGTATTAATTTTCTCAAGTAGTGTGTTAAATATAGTTTTAGGTTATAACATAATGTTAAAATAGAAACTATGCTATGTAAGATACTTTTTTTAAGAAAGAAAGGACTCGCAGCAAGATAGCAGCCACAAGACACCTAAATCTTTCAGAGAAAGAGAATTTATTGCTCTTTTATTAGGAGAAACTAACTTCTTCCCGCCATGAAGGCACCGTTAGGATTCAGAGGAAGAAGTTGTGATATATAAGTAATTCGTGCTGTTTAGAATATAAAATAAATATATGTTATAGTGTTTAGAAAGAATATACAAAGATGATTTAAACTCGCATGCGGGGTCTGAGGAATGCTACATACTATGGAAGAACCGCATATCATTACAAAATTGCAGCCCACATCAAGAAAGGATCTAATTTACAATCAAAAGAACTTAGCCGGGGTGGAGACCAACTGCACCTGAACGATCATCACTGGGCAAACGCTGCGATCAAGATAGTAGGAGCTATTGGAAGAATTGCATTCAAATGTCAAGTTCCTGTAACCTCACAGCCAGCCATCACTGCCTGTCAGGAGCTACATTGTCAAACACAACCCGGATGAAGAAGACAACATGAATATGCTTGACCAGTGCTCATCGCTGGCCAGGAACTGTATTCTCCAGTCCAGCTTGAAGAAAAGAAACAACATGAATATGATTGAGTATGAAAAGAACAAGAGAGACTCTGCCTCGGGCCACAAAAATAGTATAAAAACAGACTGTACCAGACCGCATTTGTGCACACATGGGGTCCGATGCAATAGAGGTCAGATCATGGTTCACCCAATGTCGAATCCCAGGGTCGATGCTGTCCTTTTTTTGTGTAGCTTTCGAGACTGTATATTGGTCGCGCAATAAATTATATTTTTAAATTTTTATTAAATTGGCTTAATTGATTTTTTACCAATACCAAAGCTCACAATGACCAGACAAAATCCTCTGTTTGAATGGAATTTATGCATCATGTATGAGGCTATTGTTTTTAAGGGTTAATCCTCTGTTAACGGGTGTCCTTTTTCGGGTGTATTTTGGCCAGAAAAAGGTACCCGGACATCCGTAACTCTTTGTTTTTATTGTCCCATATTGTCCTAATCTCAGTTGTTCAAATTTTATATTACTATTGTTATAACCATTTTATTACTATTAAACTTTTAAAATTTTTAAAAACAAGTGATTGGCGTTTTTCACAACCGTGTTCTTTGGCTGTTGGCCAGGAGCACCCCAGAGCTGGAAATACTGTCCTTCTTTTATCCTATTATTATTAAACTTGTAAAAATTCTAAGGAGTAAACTGTTTTTCACACTAACTTGCATTCCCAACTCAGTCATCAAATCCCATCCTAGCAAATCACAATCACAACTAGGAACAGAAACTCATGCCTTTCAAACCCATCTCACACACTCACCAATAGTGGTTGAATAAAGCACACAGGCTCATCTTTGCCACTTACTCCCTGAATTATCAAAAGAATCCCCTTTCGTAAGGGCTCCAGTGTGGTGAGCCCCCGGTACATTAGAAGATCCTGACACCCTTAACAATCCATTTCTAATGTTCTCCTTTTGTTTTTTTACAAATGGCACATTGATTCCTTCCCAATCGAGGTTGTAAAAACTGCTATTATCCTTGTCTGTACCTTTACCTTTTCCTCATCCTTTCTTTCATATACCTGATGTGCCTTTCTAACCAGCGCTTGCAAGGGCTCACTGCCACCTCTCCAGCCCCTGCTCCTGCTGCGTGTGAGCTCTCACTCTTCCACAAGCTCTGCAAAATCATTCGCCTCCCTGGTGATCCAAACAAAATCCCTTCTTATATAGGGCCAGGCTTTGGTGACACATTGTATCTTAAATCAAAGCCGGTCCCTGTATCTTACACTGTACACCAAAGCCGGTCCCTGTCCTGCCGGACTGTCCAGACGCACACCCCCCCCAGCAAACCCGTCCAGGTCCCCGGGCGCTCTCCCAGCACCACATGCTCTGCAAAGCACCAGATGCTGGCGCAGCTCAGGGAGGGCACAGCTGGCAGCGTCACAGGGACGGGCAAGCAGACGGGACGTCCCAGAACCTCATGGGGGCCGGGGGCCACTGCAGCCCCTGCCCCGGGGGGGGGGGTGGCAGCATTGGGCACCGCCTGACACTGAGCCCATGGCTGCCCCACAGCCCCAGCTTGGTCGTGCACCTCCCCACTGGTCCCCAGCCCGTGCCACCGGTCCTGCTCTCTCGCACCTGGCCTCAGCACTCCTCACCATAGAGAAATCCTCTCAAGTCCTGAGTAGTAAGTGGTCAACCCCAAATCCTCCACCCTGGCTTCATAATGACCAGGGGAGGGGTGGGGGTGTAGGAGCAGTACCTCCCTGTTTTCCATATCCTGGAAGCTGGGAGTACATAAGACTTGCAGCCGGCCCTTTATTAGACTGGAGACTATGAAGATAAGGCAGAGAACATACCAGTTCTCACTGTTTCTCTTTCCTTATCATACAGTGTCCCGTTGCTATTTGCCTTAACCATATTCCTCCACACTCCTCTTCAGCCAATCCTTTTCCAAGATTCCTTCTCGACTGCCCTTATTGACCGTTCTGGGCGTCCATGTCCTTAACTGCCTCTGGGAGAATGTGCAAAACATCTCAACATTCTCCCAAAGGACCCTTTGAAAGTATTTTGGGATTGTCATCCCTATAGTTGAGACCTTTTCTCAACTTTCCTTTACTGCCCCTCCAGGCATCCTGCCATGTTTTACTCCCCGGTGAGATTTCCAGTGGTCCTTTCCTGTGGACTCTTCATGAAGCCCCCTGGTCTGCCTCTCGTCTGTCTCCTGGACTGTCTCGGGTACCCAATCAATCGCCCAGTGCCGGCCAGTGTCAAAGGGAGCTGGTCACCGAAACTGGGTGAGGCGCGCCTCCAGCTCCTCTTGCCGTGTGCTAGCCCTAGATGGTGGAAGGATCCCAGAAGAGCTCCCATCTTGTGTGGAAAATCACACTATGAAAAAGCAGTATCCATAAAGGAGACAGAGGAGCCCTGCAACTTTATTCAAATAAAGAGAGAGAGTCCACTGGGGCACATGTCTGCAGGGTTTTCCCTCTTGAGGTTTTGGAGGACACTGCCTCCATTATCCTAAACTCCTGGCAGCATGTTGCCCTCTTCCTTTCCCCATTAACTGAGGTACTAGGAAACCTACCCGAACCGCCTACCACATATCCCCCCTTGAACCTGTCATTTTACCCCAAACATCAGAAGTTCAGGCTTGTGCAGACCCACTTGGCTGTTTCAGGAGCCAAGCTGTCTGGGCTCTGTAACAAACCTGCTGCTTGAAGTTAGTAGAGACATTAAGACCTGTTTCAAAGATGTTAACACCCATACCCTCACCCATCCTTGTGTGGAAAATCACACTATGAAAAAGCAGTATCCATAAAGGAGACAGAGGAGCCCTGCAACTTTATTCAAATAAAGAGAGAGAGTCCACTGGGGCACATGTCTGCAGGGTTTTCCCTCTTGAGGTTTTGGAGGACACTGCCTCCATTATCCTAAACTCCTGGCAGCATGTTGCCCTCTTCCTTTCCCCATTAACTGAGGTACTAGGAAACCTACCCGAACCGCCTACCACATATCCCCCCTTGAACCTGTCATTTTACCCCAAACATCAGAAGTTCAGGCTTGTGCAGACCCACTTGGCTGTTTCAGGAGCCAAGCTGTCTGGGCTCTGTAACAAACCTGCTGCTTGAAGTTAGTAGAGACATTAAGACCTGTTTCAAAGATGTTAACACCCATACCCTCACCCATCAAATTTTTTGTAAAGACATTAGCACACATCTTCCCTATCATTACCATAACTGTTTTTGGGTCCCAAAGTGATGGAACTTTGTCACCACCTGCTGTTATCCATAGTTTTTCAAATTCTCTCTAAATTTCCTCTTCCCTCATAATTACTCTCATTGTTTCTTCTGAAGACTGTGTGATCCTGTACAGTCTTCAAGCTTGTATACTGGGGATTAGTCCTGACAGTCTGGTAATACCTAGGCCACCATCTCTTGTGCTGGAATAAAGGATGGCATCAGATATACTTGAAGGTAAATGCAATCAGTTCTTGATGGCAAATCTAATTGCCAAATCAAGACTCAAAGTCCATGGCTTTCACACCAGCCTGGTCTGCCAAATAGATCAATCTGGGGATAGTATATCCTTTCAAGATGTCTACCTTCTGAAATGGTTTTAAAAGAGCCTTTTCAATCTGATGTAGCCAATCTTCCAGTTTTCACAGTAAGTCTGTTTTTGATATTCCAACCCATGGATCAATGCAAAATCCCAGGTATTTCTCAGTTATCAGGATCAGTCATATTGAGGGGCAGGCCATTAATTGTCCCTGGTGGACAGTCACTGATGGTATATGAGTCCTTGATAGGCTTGATATAGAAGTCATAGCACTTCTCCCCTTGCATCCTGAGGCCTGTAAGATCACAAAAAGCATTTAAGATTTCAATATTTCTCTTTATTCTCTCCCATGATCCACTTAACAAAACAAGGTCATCTGGAAAAGTCATAAATGTTAAATTTTTCTCACAACATTGGTAACCATATCCCTCCTCTCCAAGCTTCCACAGCAGAGGGTTCACAGCTAGGTTAAATAGGATCTGAGACATTGAATCACTGATTCCCAATCCAAATCCTAATAGGATCCGACTGCTCATCCTTCAGGTTGATATACATCTTGATGTTACCATATATGCTTGCAATCAGAGCAATAATATGATGGTCCACACCCTTTTGCCATGTCTGGGATGATACCAGAGAGCAACCAAAGATGGAACAGTTCCATTAACTGGAACTGGATCTATTTTAATAAGATCCCTCAAATTAAGATTTCTTTCACTGTGACCACGGCTTGGAATGCCAAGTTGTCCATTTGGCCAACTGATCAAAAAACACCAAGGCCCTTGAATGTTTCGGGTAATTCCCATCTCAACTTGAACACCATGTGCACCTTGTCAAGAGGGATACTCCATCTCAGGGATTCCACCACATCCAGGATATTGTTGGCACAGCCAGATGATAGGGAGGAAGCAACCTATAACACCGTCTCTGGGCAGAAGTCAACTCAATTACCATGAAGGCATTCCAGCAGGACCACAAGGAGGTGTGACATCTGCAGCTCTGCCCAGCTAGTAACTATGGTCGTGTCTTAAGTCATAGTTCCTCCGGCCAGAAAGGTTTGCCACACATCTCCCAAATCCTGATGGCTTGACATAGTGGACGGCAATACTATTTCTCTCAATCTAGAAAGTGAGCAGAGCCAGAGAAATGCTTTACCTTAGTAAAGAAAGGGTCCTTCTCCCTCACCCCCCCTCCAAAAAAAAAAAAAAAGCAAGCAAACATCGCCCTAAGCAGCACCACTGCCCTCGTCCGGCGGCAGAGAAAACAGAGCTCCCCACCTCATCGAGTTACGAAGGCGAAACCCACCGCTAGCTCCACAGAAACGACGAAGTCGAGATGGCGGCCACCCGGCGACAAGAGAGAACCGCTGTAGTGGACTGCGTCTCCAAGAGCCAATTGTAGCCAGCCTTACTGCTGAAAGAAAGAAGACTACAACTCCCGGCAGCCGCCGCGCGGCCCGGCTAGGGGACCTGGGAAGGACGGCGAGGGGCGGAGCTAATAAATAGTGGCACTTAGCACTCGCCTTGTGTAAGATGGTGGTGGCTGCTGCGCTCTAAGTGGAGTGCGTGGCAGGCAGACGCGTACTTGTGTCTCCTCGCCGCCTCTGTGTTGTGGTTTTAGCCGCGGGTAGGGGCTGTGGAGCAACAGTGAGAGGGAAAGCCAGGCTTGCGTGCCTCGGCGCCGGCCGGTTGCTGGTGGTACTACTCAAGAGCCCGCTGCTCTCGTCCCTTCAGCAGGAGGAAGCTGAGGCTGCTGTGGGCGGGGCTCGCTCGGTTCTTCCCTGCTCGGCTATGTCGGACAATCAGAGTTGGAATTCCTCTGGTTCCGAAGACGATCCCGAGACAGAGCTCGGGCTGCCTGTTGAGCTCTGTGGGGTACTCAGCAAGGTAAGCTGCCTTTCCTCCTCCCCGCAGCCTGTGCCTGACGGCCTCTCGCTTCCCTTTTCCGCGTCGCACTACAGTCCCCCTCCTACAGCTTGGCCCTAACCCTAATTCTGAAGCTGGCTGAGGGCTGTCAGCCCCGGCTGCCTGTTTCCTCCCCACCCCGCTATTCCGGAGGATCAGGCTAAGGCTCCTGCATCCCCCAGCGCCGGTGGAGGGGCCTGGTGGGGGCGTGGAAGGCGCCGTCATGGCCGATGCAGCCGCCACCTGATGGCGTGGAGCCTGCTAGGCAGCCGCTCCGGCGTCCGGCACAACCCCCCCGCACCCCCTCCCTCAGCCGGAGGCACCACCACATCCCCCCTGGATCGGGAGAGGAGGAGGCGGCTCACGTCCTTATACTCGCATCTGCTTAGTGCCTGTCCGTCCTTCCCCCACCCCTCGCAACCTTCGAGAGGTGGCATGAGGGAGCAGTTTCTTGAGGAAGAGCCGCGGGTGCGGCTTCAGCCGCGGCTGGGGGAGGGGTTGGCGGCTGGCTGTCCCTGCTGCCCCCGTATCGAGCATGCTGGCTGGCGTAAGCTTCTGGAAAGAGGCCCGCGAGGGGGCAGCCAGGTACGTGCGGGGAGGTGTTTCCCCCACTCCGTAAGCTTCTGGCCGAAGCTGACATCAGACCTGGGTGTGGTCTGGAGCCGCGACATCACACATCCCTGCTCGGGAGCTTCCTAAAGGCAGGTGCTGCTCGTGGTCACTTCCCAGAAGCAGGCCCCAGCACGAATGGCACAATCTTTGGTCCAACTATCAAAACAGGGCGATAAAATACCCCTGCAGTGGGAGATACAGGAGGTGGGGAGGAGTGGAAGAAAAATTACACTGAAGTTTATTTCCCCCTTTTAAAAATAAGCATCACTTTTTGCTCTTATATCACTGGAAGTTAAATGACTTGCAAATATGTGTTGAATGATATTGGGAAACTTAAGGAGTGTTTTAAAACTGAATATTGAATTACTAAGTTTGAAAGCAATTTTTTTTTTAAACAGAAAATACTTTCAGAATAATGTTGAAATATTTTTAGAATTAAAGCACTATGTTTTGAATTTCTTTCCTATGCAATAAGGCCAGACACAGACCTGTGTAGAAGGCACATATCATGGAGTACTGAAATTATAAGTAGGCCCTGGATGCTGAGAGGAGCTGTGATGGGGCTAGTACTCTTTTTTTGTGAGGGACTCTGTGGACTCCTTCAGTCTTGAAAATGTTTCTAAGCCTAGAGATGGGAGGAACAGCTAGGAGGAAAGAAGGCCCTTGGCTCTCATCTGTAAAATCTTATAATCTAATAAGTCCTAGTGCTGTATTTTACTGGTGTAGCAGGTGAAGTCATGGCTTCTTCTGACATTCTGTAGCTTACATACATGCAAACATTTCTGGATTATTGTGCTGAGTGTAGCTGATGCTGCCTTTTCTGTGAGAACATAGAATGGAATATGAATAGCTGAATATGGTGAAACCTGTTGCAGTGAATATGCTTGAGGGACATTTACTTTTTACTAGTTGACACTTCAGCAATACCTGAGACAAGCCAAATAAAATCAAATGGTAGCATACCAAGCTTTCTACTAAAGAAATATTTACTTTTAATAACTTAATGTGTATAATTACTGTTTAAATAAATAAAAGTAGGCTACAGTTCTCTGTGTATGTACTACTGTTTCAGTTCTGCCCTTTGGTAAAGAGCAAAGCTTTGGAGGAAATGGAATAATTTGGTAAGAGAATCTTATTACAAGTTGTGAGACTGGAAGCATTGCTGGCTCTAAACATTTTGGGTGCATGTGTGTGGCAAGGGGCAGGTTGGGCCTTGCCTTTTGTGAGGCAATGCACTGTCCTGTACACCCCACTCCCCTGGGCCTGTATTCCAGCCCTGCAGTGGCTGCCAATCACTGGCACGCTGGAAGCAATGCCCCACACCCCACCCCTGGAGCCCCAGTCTAGCTCCAGAGGGCCAGATGACCAGAAGGACCCAGGAAAGCCAAAGGGTATTTAACCCAGAACATGAGGCGAGCACATCTTGACCCTACCTCCTCTTGGAATTTCTATCAGATGAACACTGCTGGAACTAGGATTGGTAGTTATATTTGTTCCTTTCTATATCTCTTCTGTTTTATTTTAATTACTTCTTCTCAGAGTTTTGAGTAACTTAAAATCAGACAGGTTTGGAGTTTGCTAAGTTTATGCTTTGTGGAATGTTTTATGTCGAATGCTGCTTTAAACTTTTGCCAAAGTTCTCTGATTTTCTGAAGTTGCCAGTAAAGTTTCTCTTGTTGTTTTGACCTCTTGAGAACATCTTGTCGGTATTTCTCCCTTGCATCTAACTCAGAGTATATGAAAAACTGTAAGCCCTTTTAACAGTCTGAGCAAGTTTTCTGGGGCCTCACAGAAGTGTATCCTACTGGTCTCTAAAACTTTCAGAACTCCAGTGTGTTGGGTTTTTTTCCTATTGTATATCCTGCGTACAATTTTATGGTGAATATAAAGAAGGAACTTCGATGTGGAAGTGTCTTTCCTGAAGCCTGAGAAATATCAGCCAAAGTATTTTTAATTGTTGGTTTTTTATTAGCTGATCTTTGAATTTTTTTTTCCAGTGGACAAATTACATTCATGGGTGGCAGGATCGATGGGTAATTCTGAAAAGCAACACACTCAGTTACTACAAGTCTGAAGATGAAACGGAATATGGCTGTAGAGGCTCTATCTGTTTGAGCAAGGCTGTGATTACAGTAAGTGCTATTTCAGTACTGAGATGTTTTTGGGGGTTACATATTTGTAGACTAATGTCTGGTGAAAGTAAACATGGGTATGGCAAATAAATTCTTGTAGGTTGTTCAATATTAAGGTTAGTTATATTAGTGCAACACTGTGGAGCCAGGGAAAGAAGTTACTAATAAGAAAACAAGCTGGTTTTATCTGCGATGGCAATATGCAGCTCTTCATATCTGTTATCTTGGAGGTTTCTGTGGGTAGGGATAGAGTTTGCTTCTGGAGGAGGTGGAGTTTTCCCAAGGGTCAGGCTAAGGCCCTGGACCAACTTTGCAAAGGCAGCAGCATCCATCACAGTCTTTACACTTCGCATTAGAACGGGAGGGTAGTATTTCTTTGACTGTACTTTCTGAACATAACTCTGTACAAAAATTGTTAAAGAAAATGTTGTGCTATGTATTTCCTTCTCTAAAGTGGGGTGCTGTTTCTGCCTAATGTTAAAAGATCCGGCATTATGCTAGTAAGAATAAAGAGCTTACGTATAAGTGAACTCTTATAAAAATGAACTTGCCTTAGAAGATAAAGAAGAAAAATATTTTTGTAGCTTTCAGAGTTATATATATTAATGATGACTAATGCTTGCCAAAAAGCATGCTTTTCTGTGTTACTGTTAAATAGCCAGGTATTTGACTGGGGGAAGGGGGGAAAGCTGGACTTGTGTAGCACATAACTTCCTAGAGCAGTAGTGTTAAATCTTAGTATTTATGTTCTTATTCCACCAAATGTTTTGCTTTCAAACTGAATTGAGGATGACAAATAAGAAGTTCCCTTTACTAATATTCAGCTTAAAAATAGTGTGGTTTTTTTTTTTTTAAAACACAGTTGGATTTGGAAAAAAAAGACTGAACTGATTGCATCAACTTTATGTATTTTGGTAAAAAGATTGTGAAGAAAATACAGATTTTTACATTTAGATGTCTGACAGGTATTGTAGCAATCTGAAAATTAAAATAGATTGCCTGATTTCTTTCAAAGCTCTTTTTAAAGCTGCTTAAACTTTTAAACTTGCTCAAAATTTTATTTTTTTCCGGAATTTATGGTGCACAGCAGCAGCATCTAGAAGTGCTTATTTAAGTGTACTTCTGGTAGTCTGTAGAGGTACCAGATTCTGATCAGGACTTTCAAAAAGGTGTTTTATTCACTAGTAAGAGGCATAACATGCCAACCAGGCAGAGACAGGAAGGTGGTGTCAGGGAGGTAGGCCAAGAGATGTCTGGAAATGTGCTGTAGAGTACATCTCAGCAGCTTGAATTCCAGTTCTGGTGGTGGAGAATATAGTAACACTGATATTGTTTTGGGAATGTTTTGGTATATTGTGCTTTGGGAAGGGAAGTTGGTGAGCTCCTTTTCTTATGATTAGGAAGTGTGTAACACAAACTTCTTGCAGATAGTGTTTTTCCTCTCTTCTATCTGGCACTTGTTGCATTTGGTAACTTGGTGTTGAATTGTTGACTCACCCCCTTTCCCCCCAGTTCTGGAGCTTCTTAAGTATACTGAGAAAGAATAAAAAATATTTCTCAAAATTATTCTGATATTTTAGTTGTTTCATTTTCATTCAGAATCATGTTTGGTGACTGTTATTTGATAGTTTAATTTCTTGTAGTTTAAATGGCACATCTAAAACCTGGTAAACTGCTGTTAATTATTTCTAGTTGCAGTTAGTAATTGCTATGTAAGTATTAAAGGTTCAGGAATGCTATTAGGTCATGTGTCTCTA